CAGGCGGCACGTTCCTCCGCTGTGTGCCGCTGCTCTGCCTCTGCCGGCCGCGCTCCCGCCTTTCCCGTACGTCCTTAGCGGAGTCTCGGCACAGACACGTTTGAGGTATCCTGGCACTGTCCGACTGTTTTGCTCTATTTCCATAACGCATTTTCTCCTTTCAGTCTTTGGCTGCTACCTCAAATCAGGCCCCTCTAAGGTCAAGCAAACCCAGAAGTCCCCAGCCTTTTAAGGCGCAAGAACTACCCGTATGTGGTTTTCAATTCTCAAATATCACCAAAACCATCATTTCAAGTCAATATATTGGACTTTCAAGTCTATATTTGAGGGAAGATTCTTCAAAGGGGAGATACGCGTGATGTTTGGGTTTTTTTGTTAGACGTGTTGCTTAGTGAAGTCTCCCAGTTCAGAAATGCCATCCAGTGTATGGTAACAGCAACACCCCTTTCAATTCTACAGGGTCAGGAGGGTGTAGCTTCAGCTCTGGCAGCCTGCAAGATCCTTAAAGAGATGTGCCGCCTGGAGACGGAGACCGAAGTAGCACGTATAATGAAAGAGGCCAAGTATGAGCAGCTCGCTGTTGGTAAGTAACAGGGCCTTTTTAACAGCATCAAAAACTTAAGAAGTGACTGCCATTGGAAGGCAAGCAAGTGAAGAAAGAAAAAAAAAAATACTGCTTCAGTTGTAAAAGGTCAACTGTCATGAATAATTTAAGAGCCCTGCAGCACAGGCAGTCCCAAACATTCAGATACCACAGGAGGAGGACTTAATAATTTTGGAAAAAATCAGTGTTCCAAGACTGGCCCCTGGGACGCATGGAAGAAATTACTGTCCTGCCGCATGTTGGTATTTTAGCTGATCTTAGTACAAGGTGTGTTACAGCAGTGGGCAAGATAGAATAACCAAAACACTTCCAGGCTCACAGCAGCCTAGTTTTCCTGCAGTATCAAGCTTGCTCTGTAAGGGCCACTAGAGCAACAAGTTTTAAGGTTTGTCATTGCTGCTAAAAATAATTTGAGATTACCTCACCCAGAAGAGGGCTAACTGCACTGCAAACTGTGAGCGAGGCTCAGACTGGCTTCACAGCAGAGAAGCTGCCCCTCCCTGCAGCAGAAACCATTCGGGCATCTGCAATGCCGGAATACCAGGCCGTCTCCCCTTCGCCTGGTTTAAGAACAGATGCCTGCACACAAGCTCCTCTGCAGATCCCGGCTTCCGTCCAGTCCATACCTGCTGTGAACAGAGGGCTTTAAAGTACGCCACATGTGGAAATGCAGAGGCTCTTTTCTCTCCCCTTAGAGCTTGTACATCAAGCAGTTGAAGGCTCATGCAGACATTGCTACATCATTTATACACAGATCACATTTTCCCCCTCTTCTCACAGGGCAATGATTATTTACAAAAGTCAGGCTCTCATATAATCACAGGGCTCCAGTAATTTAGACATGGAATTAGAGGGCTTAATCCAATACACAGAAGTCTGCTCCTTGGCTTTGGTAAGTATTAGATCAGATCCTCAATTTTAATTTCTGGCCTGGATGACACTGTCAATATCAAGTAGAGTGAACATTCTTTAAGAACGATAAATACCACATCAACTGCAAAAGAAGTCGGTATATCAGTTTACTTTAAGTGAGATTGATCCTTTCCCCATCCCTCACAATGTAACAACAATAAAGTGTAGGCTGGCCTAGGAAAGGTACTGAGATGATTAAGTAAATCAGCAGGATGAAACAGACACAAGAAGTCAAATCTTGTCTAATGAGAAAACCCTGACTTTTTGGACTGTTTATTCTAGTTTGAGCTCCAGGACCAGCTTCTCTGGAAACAGAACGACACCACAACACTCTACCAAGTCTAATATTATTTTAAGGCAAATAGCTATGTCTTAAAACCAAGAATTTGTTGGCTACAAGCCAAAGCTGAGCTGCTTCTTTTGTCTATTGAGATGAGTGGGGGGCAGCTTGGCAACCCATCCTTCAAAGGGTAAGAGGATCACCCAAGAGATACAGTTTTGCTTGACATTGCCTAAAGTTTGACATGAGGCAGCTACAGATGAGTGACTATAACAAGTACTGACATGTTTCCAATAAGTTTCTTATGCTGTCTGTAGAAGACCGGAGAAAGAAAAATTTCTCCTCAGCTCAAACAACAATAGGAAAAAAAAATGAAAGTGTTAGAAGCCCCAGGCTGAGAAGGGAGCATGCAGATACAAAGAGGTGAGACAGAGGTACTGAGAGATTTACTCCATACCTTTCTGCAAATACTGGGAATTTTTAAATTACAGGTTTTTAGGTTTTTTTCCACCAATGCAAATCTTCTTGATCTGCCCTCTGCCCCAACACATGGGCACGCATGCATAAAGCCAGTGAGTTATTCCTGCGTCCAGCGTAATTCTTCTCTCTCTCCCACCTCCTCTTAGCGCTCTCAGGCTCTTTTCAACTACTTCAGCCTTGCAGAACTCTCGTGCAAGGAGCAACTGGCAGTGCTCAGGCTTTGCTGCCACCATGCTGCATCCTACACGCATCACTCTTACCTGACATTAATTTTTCATTTTTTCTTTTAAATTACAAGATCTGTTTGTCTATGTTTCCTTCATTTGGCAGAACTGTTTAGTGAATGCTACCACAACAGTGAGGAGAGAGCATTTGCTCTGTTGGTGAGGAAAAATCAGTACTGGAGCAAAACCACCTGCCTTCAGCTGGCTACAGAAGCAGATGCAAAGTCTTTTTTTGCACATGATGGTGTCCAGGTAAGTTTTACAGACCCTTCCCTCACCACCTGTACCCCCAGGGCCTTTAAGCATGATGTTGGACACAGAAGAGGATAGCACAGCAACCGAACAACCCTATGAAATGTATTCCTCTAAGAGGCATTCTTTGGAGAGGGCACTCTTCCCTCTCCCTAGCACCATACAAAGAGGGTGTTATACTGCATCCTTGACAAAGCAACAGTTCCCCCTTTCCCCTCCCTTTCATCCAATTAGCCCACAAACCAGAGTGCTGAGAAGGTTTAGCCCTTATTCCATCCTGTGCTTTTTATTCCTTCCTTGCTCACAGAGAAGCATCAGGAAAGCACTTCAAATCTGCCTGAGGCATAATAAAGCTGTTCCAAGATGTGAGGTAACTCTTTGTTCAGATTCAAGGAAGACCTCACTGATAAAAGTTAAGTCAAATTACTATTCAGCTTTGCCTCATAACCTGAATTCTCTCCACATACACAAAGTTTAATTAAGAGTGATGGTGCTTTTAGCTCCCTGCGCCTGACTTGCACTTTCTTAGTACTACAGATGTTGCTTAATTCCACTTGACTTGCTGTTCTTTCCACTGTCCTCTTCATAACTCTTTGCATGTTCAATGATATCTGCAGAAGGACGTGCAGAGCACCTGTTTGCTCTGAAGGTGTGCCTGCTCTTTAGGTATTCAGAGCATTCACTGTCTTAAGAGCCACAGAAGATAGGTGCACTTAATCTGCATGTATGTTTTTGAGATGTTAAAGCCACCTCTTGTTTTCTTGACTTTCAGGCCTTCCTGACAAAAATATGGTGGGGAGACATGTCTACAAGCACACAGATCCTAAAGTTAATCTGTGGATTCTGGTGTCCTTTCCTAATCTACACAAATTTAATCGCATTCAGGTATGAACATAACTATTTGGGTACAACAGATAAGGAAGGGATGAAAAATGAACCATAAAAGATATCCAGACTCAAAATTTCTCACCTAAGTGATAAAAATAGTAATATCACCTCAGAGTGTCAACAGAAGGACTGCACCACTATTAACCAAATGAGTTTTCTATGGGACTGAGTGATTTCTGTGTCCTGTACTGGTGCGTAATCTAATACTTAGAAGATTGATGCCACAGTTTCACAGAGGTCACTTCTATTTTGCCCAGTCCACAGAAAAACCTGTTGGAATTCTGTCAGCTCCAGAGTCTACACAGTGACGTGTAGAATATCTCCAGGTATAGCACCATCTATTTCTAGATTTGGAGATGCCTGGTTCAAACCTCAGTATCTTATCTAGAAAAACAGTGATCACAAAGCAGTATTATCAGCCACAAGCCTCAATAGCCATAAATCAAGCTTTAAAAACATAGGACTGACATGAAATCAATTAAGATTTTCAAATTCAATGTCTTACGAGATCTCTTTGTTAGTCTTATGCAGGCATAGCTTTGGAGTTTGTAGTTTTCAGCTTTCTGTCACAGTGAAGATGGCTAGAATCTTAGCCTTTCTTTAAAAAAAAAAAAAAAAAGCAGCCAAGTTGCTCAGGCAGTCATAAGAATCCAGGAACTGAAATTTTAAGAAAACCTCCTCATATTGTGAGAATCATATACATATCATCAGAATTGGCACTATGGAATGACATGCTATTATGAAATATATGTTTCTTAACTGTTAAACTACTTAAAAAGCAAGAGGAAAACTTGTTTGGTACTGCTGACTTAAGACTTCTGCCCGTACCACTAAAGATTACCTTCTTGTCATAGTGGCTGCCAGATTCACAAATTCGAGTAATTTAATGTGAAATTTTGGCAAAGTCTTCATGGAAAGGTTTAAATTATGATTCATAATCAAAGTAAGCCTTTCCAAGTTTGTTCTGTTGAAGACATTTTTTGCCTCCTTTCCCTGGAAATGCAAGAGTTGACACCAAGTTCCCTACCGCTTCTGGCATTTCCTCTCTTATTTACTACTAAGAATAACCAGGAATGGAGCATTGGGGTATTGTCTTCTAGGACTGAGGGCTTCATTTCTGCCCAATTCCTAAGTAATTTGAGGAAACAGAGCATCTTGCTCCATTTTTGTGAAGCATGCCAATTATCACTTCTCTGAATCTTGTGGGTGACTTCAGCCTTTTCCTTAAGAGCAAACAGAAATTGCAGAGGTAAGGATTACACATTATCTGATAGCTTCTCAGTGGAGAAAGTCCAAGTTAAGTACATACTAGCAGTTCAGCCATGAATGCCAATTTATTAATGAAAAATTTCTAACAAACATCTTTCAACTAATGAGTTTATTTCCTTACAGTGAAGAAAAACAATCAAAGAATGAGCCAGAGCCATTTAGAGAGCTGGACAGTTTAGATACAGAGAAGACTCTGTTTTTTCCCAAGGAAGAAGATAGGTAAGTTTAAAACCATTATTTAATATAACTTTTGTGACAACAATCGAAGAACCGGATGCTTCTGGTGAATTAGTGACCAGCTAATGATCTAAGGAGCAGCTGACAGACCAAGAAAGTCATTAGTCCTCAGAACGTGCCATGCCCTCTGATTACTGCTGTTGCTCTCTAGGGGGAATACCGAAAATAAACAAGGATATATCACTGTTTTAAGGAGATACAACTTTACTTGTTCGGAGCAGATAATTTTTACAGAACAAGGAATCTGCTTAATAGCTGGGGACTCACAAAGCATTTCCTGAGATTCCCTTCAGCTCCTGATGGCTGATATACATTGGATTTAGGAACTAAGTTCCTATCAGATTACTGAGCTGAGCAAAGAGAAGGTTCTCAGTAAAACTTTACGTTATTTGAGTGCATCACTACGTACTTTCCTACAAAGGCAGCAACAGAAGTACCTGCAAATATCAGGATCTGGGAATTTTATATTGTCAGCTTCCCATCATACTAGTGCTCTTCATTTATATTTTAAAAGATGGGCCCTAAGGAACCTGAAGTACAGCAACAAACTTTAGGAGTTAGAGGGAGCATTACACAAATGGTAACAGAGCACAAAAATTTTTGTCCAGTTGCTCATGGTCATTCATAGATTTGTGATTCAGAACTTCTGAATTCCACCCTATACCTCTGCCCCACACTTGTCACCAAAACCTGGGAGGCTACAAGGACTTAAGTCAGGATAGGAAGACTTTTGAGTCTTTGAGCCATTAAGTCCTCTTAATGGCTAAATAGCACTAAATATCCACTTGTAATAAGCATGTGCTTTTCAATGATTTAAAGAGAACTTCAGTAATATGTGAACAACAGTAGCGAGTAAGCATCATCTGTAGTATGATGTGCTGGACCAAGTCTGAGTTATTAGGTTCTATTTTTACCTCTGGCATTTAACTGGCAGTATATTGGAGAAAATAATTAGTTGTCCTGTCTTCCTCCCTAACCTATAAAATAGGTGTAAAAGCATCTGCTTCTTGGGAGCTATTTGTAAGCAATGTCATAAAACACTTCCATATCCTGACCTGTTTGGTCATTACATTGTGCATACCAATTGCTATTATCTTAGCAATTTATTTTAACAAAGAGGCTCTCTCCCTCCCAGATCTATTTCAGCATCTTACAGTAAAGCTGAAAGTATCTGTTTATGATATTAGCCTATTACCATGGGAATGTATCTTACAATGTCATAAATTGAGAGGTAGTACAGAATTAGGCACAGAAAAGACTAGCTGTGAGGAGCAGCTCTTCCTTATAACGAATTTATTTAATAATTAGTAAGAATGTCAGGAGAAATTAAGAACCAGTGAAGAGTCATTGTTTATTTTTTGTGAGGTGAAATTCAAAATATACCCTAGTGTGTGCATCCTTCATCAGAGATCACACCTCTCAGAGTCAGAATCACAAAATTAAAGATTCAATAACATTCCTAGCTCACACAGGAGAGCAATTTATGTGGAAACAAAACCTTGCACTAAGATCAGATTACTATCAAATACAGGGAACTTGCATTTTCTGCACAGGATAATTTCCATTGCCAATAGATAGCACTTCATGTTCCAAAACACAGCAAGAACAACTGTAGATGTATTGTTGTAGGGTCAAATTTCCCTTCAGTTACCAAAATACTTCCATAATTCTACAATAGTCAAAGACTACCTTAATAAATAATTTATGAGGTCAATTTTTTTTTGCCAAAAGGCTTCTGTATTACTTTTTCTGCAATTTAACTTAATTGTAAAGGGCAAGATGCCAGTGCTTACAGTTGCATAAAAAGTATTCCTTCAGTAGTTCTCAGACTTCAGCAAGCATAGTCAAGAAACACATGCTTAGTATGATCCATCACTTTTGAGACTGGGTCAAAAAGAGGAATTATTTAAAGTCATGGCAACAACAAGAACTTCTGCATGCAAACACTGCAAGAAATTTTTAGAACCAAAATAATTAAGAACTGACTCGTAAACTACATTGGCCGTTTGCTTTTTGTTCCTATTATCTAAGATGATGAAGAGCAATTAGCCCACTTCCTCCTTTCCTTGTGTATTTGCACAGTGTTTGTACTACACCCAGGAAAACGATGAAGTTACAAATCAGATTAACACAATAAAACTGAAATAACAAGACTATGCATTTAAGTCTGATGCGACTTTGTTTTTCAAAACCTTCTTTTTGACTTGAAGTATTTCTGCTAAGGTAATGGCCTTCCTCCTTGCCATCCCCAGCATCTGCCTGTTACTACCTTACAAGAAGCTTTATAGAGAATAATACTGAGCCTATTTCCATGACCTAATTTTAGGAAACCACCACCAAGTTTATATTCTTTTTGTTTTGCAGAGGACATGGTAAAACGGAAAAGCAGAACCCTCCTGAAAGCACAGCATGGGCAACATTCATGTTTACTCGGTGGAGAAAATTCTGGAGTGCCCCTGTAACTGTATTTATGGGGAACGTTATAATGTACTTTGCTTTTCTGTTTCTATTTACTTATGTCCTTTTACTGGACTTTAAACCACCTCCACCTGAGGGTCCATCTGCTAAAGAAATTATACTTTACTTCTGGGTTTTTACACTGGTCTTGGAAGAAATCCGGCAGGTCAGTAACCTATGACATCTTAGTAATAACACAATTAAACTTGAGGCAATATTTTGAATAGATTTACAACCTATGTAATTGTACAAGCTCAGAGATTTCAAGTGTCAGATGTAGTTTTGCACAGAACAGCAATATAGAACTCACCTTATCCAAAACACTCCACCTCTCTGTCTCCTCCACCATATAAAGCTGTAGCTCCACTTCTGTTTTTCCATCCTGCTCCAGCCATAGCCCAGTCAAGTGAGCTACTAAAATTCAGGTGTCCTTCACTTTGCAAAGTATCTCTCTGATTTCACTCCCCAGAACTAAGTCCTCCCACCACAAATAATGTAAATTGGAAGTTATATTCTACACCTGGAAACACAGCAGACAACTCTACATCCTTTTAAGAGAATCTTCCCTGCTGGGGACTGTTTAAAAAAACAAGTAAATGAATTCGTATTATTTGAGCTTTTCCTAAAAAATCTTCTCAACTCAAAACATTAGCAGATCTCTTTTTGGCTTGCTTTTCTTAAACAAACAAACAAAAACCCCCAAACTTCTCCATTACTCTCACAGTTACTGTGAGAGTTACATTTTGGAATGTCCTCAGCTCAACAAATGAAATAATGTGTGAACAATGGTGCTAGTGTGTTGCCAACTGTGGGTGCATAAAGCTGTCCTCTTTAGACAAGAAAAAGCAGTTATAAACATTTACTCTGGAAGAACAAACAGGTGTTCATTATTTAAGCAATAGGGACAGTGAAAAGGATCCCAGCTTGTTACAATTTATTTTAAATTATGCAGCAAGGTCATAACCAGAGTAGGACATGGAAAATATTTGGATCAAAGAACATTTCATTATAAACCTGTAAAACATGACGAGTACCAGGCTAAAAGCCAATTAAGAAACCCAACTCTTTGCCTAGATAATCAAATGTGCACTGACTGACAATTCCAATATACAAATGCCAAATCTGTTCATGCTGTTTAGATAGCAATGCCTAGAAACTGAACTTTGACTGGATGTTGTTGTATTGTTTAACAGCCTGAATGCTGACAAAATCTTAAATCAGCCTTCAAAAATTCCTAAGGCTAATATCACAAGAATAAAAAGTTTTTTTTTTCTTTTTCATCCAACTTTTGTGTTTCAAGACAGTAAACCGAGCTTATGTTTCGAAGCTTTTTACCCTATTATGCTAGGAATTTGCTTTTGCTCTTTGCAATGAAAAAGGAAACAAGTATTATGTTAAAACTCACAATGAAATAGTGAAACTGGAAACAGATCAATACTGATGATTATTTCTCTTTTTCAGAGTTTCTATACAGATGAAGACACAAATTTAATGAAAAAATTTAAACTGTATGTCGAGGATAACTGGAATAAATGTGATATGGTGACCATCTTCCTCTTCATAATTGGAGTAATCTGCAGGTATATATCTGTTCCATGTGATGTGGTCAGCATCAGTAGCAAGGGCTGTGTATGTCAGCTGGCAGCGTCAGTCCTGTGTGCATGTGAAGACAGGCTATGACATTTACTTTTACAAGCTTTGAGACATGTTTCTGTAAAAAAAGCCTCTAAAATTCTGTGGAATCATAGAATTTGCTCCAGAAACCACAAAAAGACATATTGGGATATTCAAACACATATACAGAAGACGACTGCTTTGTTTGTTTGTTTGTTTTGGCAAACACTTTTAGTCAATGTATAAAATCTTTTTTTCTTTTTTTGTTTTTTTTTTTTTAAATAAATGTCATTGAAGCCAAGACAGAGAATACAGTGTCCCTCCATCTTTTGGCTATTTCTCATCAATGTTCAGACATTACATTATATTCCTCTTACAGGCTTATACAGCCACAGCCCTGAAGCACTTGCCTTTTCCTAACTAGGCTATGCCCAGAAACTGAGTGCAATATTTGAGAAAATACTTCTCAGCAGTACTTGCTGAGATCTGATATTTCATTTCATGTGTTCTGCAGGATGCTGAACTCAACTTTTCAAGCTGGCCGTACAATACTTGCCATTGATTTTATGGTGTTTACACTTAGACTTATACATATTTTTGCAATTCACAAACAACTTGGACCAAAGATAATAATTGTGGAAAGAATGGTAAGTGTGCAGTTTCTCTCAGATAAATACTTGTGCTTTCTAAAAAATGGAGGAATCTTCTCTTTACATAGGAAATCAGTTTATCATCTATCTTTATTTTTATAATACGTTTTTAAGACTTGTCATTTTGCATATATTCCCTTATTTATCAAGAGTATTGGATGCAGTAAGTTTGAGCTAGATCCTTCCAAAGATCTCTGTAGTGTAATAAGTTGGTCCCGATTTACTAATCCTTATACCTTGCTTAATCATTTATCCTCAGATCTGGCAAATTAAGAGTAGGGTGTCTTTGACTACTGCTATGCCTCCTACTTCATAAGCTGTGTGCTTTCAGAGCAAAGACCTCAGACAGACACCAGGCCATTTACAGAAGGGTAGGGCATTTACTGAATGACTCTGCTCTGCTCGGGGAAATAGATTATGTTATTTGCAAGAAGTGTGAAAAAAAGTCTATAGTAGCAACTTTCCCACAGGAGTTACTCTTACTTGTACTTTGTGGCTCCAAGTTACAATGAAAACATATTGGTACTTTGTGAGCATATGTCGGAAGATGTTGATAAAAGATTTTTATTTATTACCACTTTCCTGAAGGAAATGAGACATTAGGACAACAATTACTGTGCTTGGGTATGCGTTGGTATGTTGAAGTAGCTCTTTATTTAGGCATGTTAATCCTCTAGGCCAGTTAGTTCATGGTAACTGATTAATAGGAGTTCATCTAATTGTAAGTGCTATTATAGAATCTACAAATATTTGATTTGTGACTCACAGCAGAGCTCGGTAAAAGCCGCACAGTCTAAACAAGCCTATACATTGAATAAACATAACTACCAAGGTATTTGGATTTGTCTACAAATGCAATAACTGGAACTCTAGCATGACATTTGCTTGGAGTAGCAAAAGGGTAAATGGCAAATAAATATTTGTTCTCGAACATTATCTAGCTTACAGCATTAGCAGACTTTTACTGTAAGAGAAAAGATCTACAGCTCCTAACCCTTCCTTGCTGCATACCAAGCTAAACCAGGGCCCTGAACAAATATGGTGATGTGTCTACTATGTTGGCATCTGAAGTTGTATGAGATAACACACAGATTAAGAACATGCAAATAAGAACATAAACAATAGCCTAGACAAAACCATAAAATGGGACCTTTCATCTTCCCCCCATCCAAGCCAACACAATGCCTTAGCTTTGGTAGTTCAATGTTGAACCTTACATCAAATGAAAGAACAGTGAAAGTTACTTCAGTAAACAATACCTGCTTGAAAGGTTCATCAAGAGGGTTCAAGCAAGATCATTTCCCTTAATTAAACAGAGAAGGAATCCAAGATTGTCTCTTATTGTCTTTCTCCTTTTTAACCTTGCTACAGAATTGCTGAAACAAGCCTGGTAGCTGCTAAAATGGCAGGTCAATGCCAGAACAATGCCTGTTCACAGACAGACTGCAGATTGGAAAAAAATATTTCCATATTTGCCACTTCTGTCTCTTAACTATGACACCATTAAAGTCCTGCAGCATTGCTAAATTTTAAATCATCCAGAAAACAAAATAGTTCGGTGAAAGTCATCAACTATGTCTTGCCTGGCTTAGATACTGTGTTTCTTAATAGAACTTCAAGTAACCTCCGGGAGGTCTGAAATGCCTATGCATAATCCAATAACCTAATTGAAATGAATCTACAGTCCCTAATGAACTCTGTCAGATTAGACGGGAAGAGGATGAAGTGTTCCTCTTCCACCAGGGAAAAATTATTGCACTTGAAATACATAATAGATTTTTTTTTAAGTGTTCTAGGATTCAATTACTTATGCTTCTGTAGAGAAACACAATGCTTAAAAGCAGGAAGTCCTGAAAACAATCCCTCAGATACATTACTTAGCTTGAAAACCCAAGACAGAAGCTACTTGATCCTTGCAGCCTTCAATGCCTGCTGTATCAGTGGTTCAGTATTCATCAATGAGCACTGACTGTTACCGGGATTCACTGCTGCAGCAGAACTCTTGTAATTCACAGTAAAGCAGTTGATGGTACTGTGAGATCTCACAGAAAATCTGCATTTAAAAGGTACAATGAGATTTACTTAAAAGGTAAAATGTGTTTCATTTTTAAATGTTAGATGACTGAAAAGCAATGTTTTAATTTAAAACAAGCCTTTATCTAAACAAGCTGTCAAAGAAAAATGCTGATTACAGGTCAAGAACAATATGATAACAGCAAGGTCAAAAGAGGAATTCTGTGCATGGGACTGTACCCTATTCCACCTCCTTTAACCTAAACAAGCTTGGAAAGAAACAGAATTATTTGAGCCATTTTCATATAGAAAGAGTACTGTTCTTTGAGTATGCTATTACAGTCACCTCTCCTCCTTTTCTCCCCCCCCTCTCTTTTTTAGATGAAGGATGTTTTCTTCTTTCTGTTTTTCTTGAGTGTGTGGCTCATTGCCTACGGTGTAACAACTCAAGCACTACTTCATCCCGATGACAGCCGAGTGGAATGGATATTCAGAAGGGTGCTTTATCGTCCCTACCTTCAGATATTTGGCCAGATTCCACTGGATGAAATAGACAGTGAGGAAATTTCTTTACCCCCTAACTTGGCCATTTTTGAATGCACACTTCCGATAGACCATGGAATTCCTTCCCAGCATTGTGGTTTTTTGGGGTTTTTTTTAAGTCTTTGTCCTGCAGGCCAAAGCTTTCACATTACTAAGATATAAATAGTGTATTTGCAAAGAGGTAATGTGCAGTGTGGAATTACATTAGAGCATAAGTGTTGGCCCTATTTAGACAAGCTGTCTGAAATGCTCAGACAAGGATTTGCAGATTTAAAGTCTGGCGTACCTTCTTTCACTTCAATCCATTTCTGTTCAGTTTAACCTAGACACAGATAACCCTGTGCAAACTGAAATAATAGCATCTTCATACATATTGGCAGTAGTTTAACGTGACACTGTTAAAGCAGCACAGCTCTGCTCATAAGCAAATACTTATGTTTTAGAATAAATATTCCTCTAGAGCATTTATTTACTCTGGAGTAAAGCCGCCCAAATCAAATAAAGCTAGTAAATAAAGCTAGTGCAACGTTTCAAACAAAACAACATAAAAATAATCACAAGACATGGAAATACTTGGACGTAAAGGTTCAAAGGCAACATTTCTGATAGGTAAGCAGGTAAAATACAGAATAGGTCACATCCCAAAGAAGGCTGAAGTAATGCCACAACTTTTAGCCAGTATAACAGTGCTAAATGCCAGTGGCAATATTGAAGTAGGATTCAAACTTGAGGTAATATGGACAGAACCAAAAAAATCCCATAGACAGAAACAAACCAGTAAACATTCCTTCCTGTTCACTCTGCTTAATAAGAAAAAGCATATGTCTTAGAAAAGCCAAAAAAGTCTGAATGAGACAAGAGAGCATGGGTGTGATTCATCTCACTTAACTTTAAATGCCTACGGTGTAAGCATGGACGGCATAACCAGCCACTCTTATTTCCATCAGAGCAATTGGAGATAAACAAATATTTCTGGAACAAGATTCATCTCATTTGGAAATAGGTCAGATATAGCATTCCCTAGAAATGTGTGTTTCTCTCCATTGAGACTCCAAAGGGTATCTTCACCTGGATAAATAACTGGTATACAAAGACAGAGAAAAAAGCAATTAATTATATGGGCAACTTCCAGAACGGTGTCATTTGTCCTGGGGCTTGTTCTGTTTAACATTTTTATGAAACACATGGAAAAGGAGATTGGTAACAAGGGGGACAAAATCTGCTGACAAAACTACATTACTGGGTAGTAAAGACTAAAGCTGACACCTAAGAGTTGCAGAGGACCCTCATGAGTGCTAAATCATCAAATGAAATTCAGTGTAGATAAATATAAGGCAATACACTTGGTGAAAGCAGTCCCAGCTGTGGTAAACTTTGATATAACTGCGTGCTGTAACGAATGACTGTGAGGTTATCCATGGTGGTGGGGAGAAGAATTATTAGTGAAAAAATGGAGAACAAAAAGTAAATATCATTATGCTACTCTAAATTTGTGGATTTAATTCATAGCTGCAGACAGGATACAGGGCTAGACCTCTAGTCTGATGCAGTAGAACCATTCTTACTAATCTCAACTGCAAGCTCAGATGTACAAAGTAGTTTAAATTTAGAATGAGGAACCCCATTTCCAGCGTTTACTGAGTTTTTTCCTCTAACACATGTACCAGCATGAGAACTGTGAAGACACAAGTATGTGGGGGAACACAACTGCTAAATACTCAAAGGTAGTTTGACTTTGGGAACTCAAAACTAGTCTAAAAAGAATACAGCCTTTTCAATACAATCCCCCTTTGCTGAATGTTACTAAAAAGCCAGTTGCGACAGCCATCTAGCCACTGAATGAGCAGCCAAGTGCCGGAGTGCATTGTCCTAGGGTTGCAAACCTCTTGCACGTTAAAGCAATGTCTCTTCATGTACATGACATGATTACATTTTCACATAATTAAAGTCATTGGATAGTCACATAAATGATCTTTCAGCTGCAGGAATTAGCTCAGTAGCTCAAGCAGTCAAAGAACTGCCCCTTCATGGTTAAGAGAGTCTCAGGTTTATGGTCCTGCTAGCAGTCAACAAGGGTAGTACAAAAATCCTACCACAATATTGGGTGTAAGCTTTTAATGATCGTAAAATATTCAGAACAAAATTATGCTGCTGTTTTATGCAGCCAAGATGAAATCTCATTTTACTAATCGGTATCATAATTGTCCTTGACTTGTATCTTAGCAGTAAAGGTACTAAATATACCCATCCATCCATGTCACTAGTTCTTAAAAAAAGACATGTTTAGAGATATTAATTCAATTTTATTTGCATTGAAATAGCTATGAAATTCAGCACTTCAAACCTAAGGAACAATTCGTAATTCTTGCCATTCTTTGTTGAAAGTCAGAGATTTTGGCTAACCAAAATGTAAAGCTTTTGTCTCCACTCTAAGAAATGCATGTGGCAGTAGGATTTGTCAAAACTATTATTTTATTTCCTTTGCAGCATCACGAATGTATCCCAGGAACTGCACATTTAATCCACTGCAGATTCTGCAGGAGAACTTGCCATCATGTCCTAACAGCTATGCCAACTGGCTTGTCATACTTCTGTTGGTCATCTTCCTCCTAGTCACAAATGTTCTCCTTATGAATCTCCTGATTGCTATGTTCAGGTAAGAGCGATTTCAGTAAGTATCAATGCAGAGACTGCAAAGGTTTAACTGAATGCCCGTATTTAATACGTTGCTGTTGGCTATTCGTTTTGGAATACACCAGTAATTTTCCTAATGAATATTTTTGGGGGATTGATAGGTAGGCTTCTGTGATCATGTAGTTGTTAAGTTCTCATCATCCTTACTCTAGCCACATTAAAGACAAGAAGAAAAGAAGCCTTTTTTACTGCTAAAATGCAATTAAACATGCATAGAAGGGTCTGGATCCTTGACTGTGCTGCAGCACAAGTCTGCAGGTGCAAAGCAGCTGTAAACTTGGCAGACTTAACAGTGGATAATCTGCACATAGGGGAAATGCTTGATGTCAACACGGCTAATAATGATTCATTTGGTTGAAGAACTGATGTGGTACGTTTGCTGCTCTTGTCTGAGTGAAGTGGAATTATCTTTCTTTAAAAAAACTCCACCTAATATATTTTTTAACATTTGAAGACTGCAACTACAATTATTTTAATACCTAAGAATTTGCAAAAACTTTAGATTAAATTAACACTACTTGCTGAACTTGCTGTTCCTTTCTTAAAGTAAACGTGGGACTAAATTTTGTAATAATAAGCTTTAGCTTGTTGAGGTAAAAACAGTTACATACTTTTTCCCCCCCCAATTACAGTTACACTTTTCAAGTTGTTCAGGGCAATGCAGACATTTTCTGGAAAATTCAGCGCTACAACCTGATTGTTGAATATCATGGCCGGCCTGCCCTAGCACCACCATTTATCATTATTAACCACATAACCTTGGTTGTCAGAAGAATCTTCAACAAAATGGAACATAAAAAAGAACATCTGGGTGAGTTGTTAACAAGCATCTAGCAACTAGAGACCCTGACATTCTCCTAGGACATGCTGCATAGGCAAAACAGAGGAGCAGTTAAGATTTCCTTAAGCCAAGAGTCACAATTTATTTTTAACAAAGAATGCCAGGAGAGTACAAATGAAAAATGAAGGCTTACAATGTACCCTGTAATATAAACAGTTTCCCACAATGCATTTCTTTATGCACCATAGTTATTACAACAAAGGTGTGGATATAAAGCTGGTTAAAGGAATTTGATTTCTGAAGAGATAACAATGGATAGATTTAATGACTGATGAATAATTATTTCATTTGCTCCTGAATTGTAGTATTAGGTATGGACAACCCTAAAAACATATACCAAGTCTAAAAATCCAGTAGGATCAGTGAAATTTCCCAATACAGAGACACGGAAAGAGAGAGAACATGCTTAGAGAAACCCTTAAAAGTTTTAATTATAAGGCAGATGAAGTTCAGATAATTACAGAAGGCATTTGGGGTCTTTCTACAGTTATGGCAAACTTGGCCCATCTAATTTAATAGTGTCCAATACTAAGCCTATTTAGTCCTCATGCACAGGCTGATAATGGGCTTTGGAGCAGAAGTGTTGTCAGACTGGACCAATTCAGAGCCCTTTGACTAAGCTTCCTTTCAGACACACTTCTGGCTATCAAAGCACACTGCTGAAGATTCTTAAAAAAAATAATTCTCTTCTCCCCTAAGAAAGTACCTGACTGCTCAGGTTATAGATTCAGTAGCATTTGAGGCATACAGCAAGTGTGCCCTTTTACCAATCCTTAGGAAGATAGAAAGCTAGTATGTAACATTCAACATATGTCTGTGAAACCAAGGTCTGTTGTGGGCTGGGACACTTGACAACAACAATAGGCTTTATACTTAAAGGTGGAGGAATTTATTCACAGTTTTTCCTTCCTATTTACAATTCTTCTAATAAAGAAGCTTAGATGATGAAGTGCATCTGAACATAAAGCTCTGTTCATTAAATACTTTGGGGCTAAAATATGTCAGAAGTTCAGTGAGATTGTAAATGGGTTTAAATGGAACACAGGAACTGGTCCGTGCTGTTATTTAGAAAACTCAAGAGTCATATCCAACTGCAAAAAGGTCTATTACCTTCCATCACAAGAAAAAAAAAAAAGTAGAAAATATTTACTTTACACTGCATTTTCGTAACATGACACTCCTGCAATGGCGAAGTGCCTGCAATGGCAGACTTGGTTTTTCTTTAGCATAGCAGCCTTCCATTACTAGTATAAGAGAAAAGGGAGTAAAATGTAATTCTTAATTTCTTCTTCTTCCTACAGAAAGAGATCTTCCAGTTGGCCTAGATCAAAAAATCATAACATGGGAGCTGGTGCAAAAAGAAAATTATCTTGTAAACCTTGAACAAGAAAGGAAAAAAAGCAATGAAGAAAGGCTGAAGGCCACATATAATAAGTATGTTATTCTCACCCCCAATAGGTGTACCTTGCAAGTCTTCAGCTTTGAATGAGACAAACATTCAGGTGTTTGTAAAGCTTGTATGAAGAGACCAACTAGAATGCAGTTAGGAAATATTTTTCCATGAAAAATGGGAGAAGCCAGCATCACTACAATGTTAGAAGAGTCTTTGGCACTCTTGAAGTATGTACAGGCCTGTAAGATCCAGCCAAATCTGCAGTCAAGCTCAATGAAAATCATATTAATGAAGAAATGGTGGAAGAATAGTTCCTTTTGCTATACTGCAGTGCATGTACTTCCACCCCTGTAGGAATGCAACATAGATCTTTGAATTAGACTTTTGAATGGCTTAGACTTTTGAGTGGAAGGTTAAGATATCTTGAATTATCTGCAGCCCACAGATGAAGAACAACAAGTGTTTCCAGCTCTATGGCCCCAGACTACAGTCTTCCACAGGAAATTAATGATATTGGCGCTAAAATTGTATTTAATTGAGTGTCCATTTAAATACTTTTGTAAAATATCTCCCCACTAGGAATATCACTGAAATTGGTTTAGTATTCTAAACAAAGTGCTAAATTATTATTCATATTTACTCTAAATGAGTAAATATTTACTTTGTCTTTAAGTGAGACACAAATTAGTTATACGGAGGGAAAACAGAAACATCTAAGGCAATACTGAAAGCCAGACAGCAAAGCCTCTTTAAAGAAGCTTTTAACACCTATCTCAGCTGTTTCTTCTTACAATAAAACTGACTTCAGATAGAGGCAAAATGGATGTGACAGGTATCATAGTAAGAAAGTTCCATGGAAACGTCCTTGTGCTGTTTTCTTTCTGTGCCGTCTTTCAAAACAAACCTCCATCCGTGTAAGTCATAGAATAGCTGGAGCCCAAAACAGAGTACTTGAGTACATTCTTGGAAAATACTCTTCTGCCTCTAATCTACATAGACTCTTAATTCATAATAATTTAGAACTGTTATGTTGGTTTTACCTTTATTCTCATAAGCAGGTCACTGACAAACCTGAGGAATGAGAGCTCAATTACTGAGATCAAGTGATAAATATGTGTATAATTGCTTCCAAACAAAGGGCATGATTATATTATTTCTAGCTTTAAAGCTAGAAAGCTTCAAAGATGGTACATTGGAGATGAAGTTACTGCTTGGAGGGGAAAAGTCAGAATCAGTCTGGCTTCACAGTATTTCAGGTACAACAGAGCAAGAAAGAGACTGGAAAAGGTTTAGATGAACACCACTAAACCTGTGGCTTTTTATCTTTGCTCTTAGGTGGTAGCAGTGAAATCTTATGAAAACCTCTGAAGGTGATTGTTTGAACTTTGCATTGAACCAATCCCAAAATGCATTAGAAACATCCAGCAGCAGCTTCTTCACAGAGACTTGAACGGAATGGAACCTGTTAAAGGGAAACTTTGAAATAGTACTTAGGACAAAGCAGAGAGGGATCTGAGGAGGGAATCAGATGCTAAGAACAAGGAACTGATGGGAGAAGAGGTGAAGGATGCAGAAAGCGTGTGGACAGTACAACAACTTGCAGGCACTATACAAGGAAGTTCTCTGCACGGTCCCTTTGGACTGCATGGAAAAAGGGATTTGAATGTCAAACCAGTTTCCAAAAATGAAACCTTGTATAAATTTTTAGTGGCTCATCTCCCCTCTGTTGATGGAAGAAATACTGTGGCCTCAGTTGTCACACCAGGATCAGTTTACATCTGGTACAGGTGGGACATTAGTGGCTGAAGAGACAGAGTAGGACCTAAGGCTCCTTTCTGCTGTCCTTGGTTTCAGCAGCTGGGGCTAAGTGGCCCTCGCCAGAAGCTGAATTGGTGTGAGTTTATAATGAGTCCCTGGGCAACAAGTACATGAGAGTGTCCCAGAAATGCTGCTCTGTTCAATAAATACTTGCAGGAAGACCTCAAAAGGACAAAACTTTTAGGGGGCTCTGGCGTGTCTCAGCAGCACAGAACTGACAAAGAGGGGTCACGGCTCTACCAAGTTACGTGGTTTTTGTGGTTTAGGATTTCTTATCATAGAATCATAGAATCATTTAGGTTGGAAAAGGATCATCAAGTCCAACCGTTAACCTAGCACTGCCAAGTCCACCACTAAGCCATGAGGCCCTTCCTTTTTTCTCAGTGTGTATGCTTTCTTTCCACAGGGTGGATAATTTGTCTAAGTATTTTAGTGGATTGAAAGAACAAGAAAAGTGGTTTAAAGTTATGGAAGCCCAGGTAAGTAATACTTTTATAGACATTTATATCAGCTTTAGGATTTCACCACGTTTCTTTCATTTAATGGAGGTTTGGCAGACCCTATTTAGGATAAAGGGAAGGAGAAATGGAGCTCTATTATGATTTCACTTTCCTTTCTGGTGATACACATACGTAAAGAAACAGAGAGTAGAAAGGGCAATACAGCATTTCTTGCTCTCTTTGCTAGTCTACTTGAGAAGTGTTTATTTCCTTCATTAAGGTTGCTTTTGGAAGCAAACGCTTCATCTTCACCACTCCATTATCTTCCTTCACCCAACCTTTTCCTTCTTTAAAACTGACAACTTTGAAGATACCCATATTGTCTCTGATCTGACTTAGCCTAATCTTCTTGGACATCAGTTTTTCTAATTTTCTTAGATACCAGATATCAATGTCTCAAAGGGAAATGTCTAACATGCAAATGTGAAACATAAATAATAGAAGGAAACCCTATCTTGCACTTTTGATGACAAACCCTTGAAAAATAAACATTTTTTAAACAGTCTGAAAATACTCAGCATTACATTGCGCTACATAACCGTTATTGTTTTCTTTGTCCTTAGAACTCTCCAGTGTAATTTTGGCCTTGCTGGAAGTTCCGTATCTTAATACTCCCATTGCAGCTTCCCTCCCCTTTTTTATCCATTTTATGGCTTCCTGAAAAAAGTCACGCTATTCAATGAACAATGTTGACACCAAATACAGGTCCAACAGGAACACACAAGAAATGCTTTAATAAGTTTGTGCCACCGTGAGATAATGCTATATACTCAGAAAAAATGGAAGGTATTTAATACAAATCTTCCTCCAAGACAGTTCAACTATTTCTTTAAAAAAATAAAAAAAGTGGTATTTCTGACGCTGCTTCAGTCTGATGCCTAGATTATCTTTCCTGCCAATTTAAGAGTGGATAAAGTACTACAAAAATTAGCTGATGTAGAATTCACTATCTGTTTTGTAGATTTGCTATTGTACAGCTGTTATCTCCTCAATGGCAGAAGTTTTAAACAAAATCAACCTTTTGTGCAACCAAACAGATCCAAATTATACACGTAAGTACTGAAAACAATCACGGAAAAGCTAATTAATACAGCTGAACAATTTAGTTAAAAAAATTTAAGGAAAAAAAAAAAAGGTTGGAAAAGAACCACATAAGGAGGTGCAAAGGGGTATACCTAGAGGTAATGGGAATATAAACCAGGAACAGAATATTCATACTTCAGAATGAAAAAATTACCTTTTGCAAAGCATATTTAAAAGTTTTCTGGAAAGGACTATTGCCTAGTGTAAGTTACAATGATCTCACCCAGCTTTAAGCATTTAAGTATCTAGTTGCCATAGGGCTTCTTGAGAGGATCGTGTCTTGGGGGTTTCTTCAGTCAATGAGATAGTACTACCAAAGTAAACATTTAATATGGATAACAACAGTCATTAAAAAAAAAAAATTGAGCAAGCCTCCTACTAGTTTTAATCAACACAGCTCATTTGCCTTCAGAGCTGCAACTATTTCTGTCAGTTAAGAATCTTGTCCTGTCCCAGGGCTCCACTGTTTGGACTTTAAAACATTGGAGACAAAAACAGACTATTTTGCAGCCACTGCAGGATGTCCAACACAATAAAGATTTTGAATCTTCTTCTTAATGATGTATTGCCATATCTACCTATTGCTATCTATTAAACAAAAAGGTATCCAAAATCCATATACTAAAAATATATATACTATATGGGAAAAAAAGAAGTAGCTGGAAAGTCAGCAAAGTTGTGACATGAGAAGACCTCAGATCACTCAGACTCAAACTAACTGCAAACTTGACTTAATTCTGTTAGAAGCTTATAAAACACATCTGTAAATTGCTTCATTATCAACATTCCAGTAAGAAAAACTATCCCGTAGCATGTTCCCCAGACATTTTAATACTGTAGCTGCATAAAAATCAGAAACTTAAGTAGCTGAAAAATAAAGGAACCTGTTTTTATCCTTTACTGAGCTAATGAAAAGTAGTAGAATCTACAGTATCTTTTTGCTGTGGATTATGTTCAACATTTTAAAGTTAAGATCTTAAGTAATTACCATTATGTGCCCCTTGTCCTAAGGCTTTTAAACAAGCACATGGCTTTTACAATCCCATTAGGTGTGATGAATGCGAACACAGAAGTGCCTTTCCCAGAAAGAAGTGAAAGAGAAGAGCATGCAGATCAGTCCAAGAGTGACATCACATATATTGATAATTAAATTTTACTCACATTTCTTCAGATTAAACCTTTTGTCCTACTGAACTACTGTGGAAATAAAATCCTAATCTTATGAAGGCCTAAAGCCCAGCTCTCGAAGCCTTTACGCCTAGCACTGTCAATGTTTGATGCTGCTAAGGATTTCTTGGTCTTGCTCCTCCAATTTCTTGGGCTTCCTTCTCTCCCGCTCCTGTATCGCTTGGTCCTTTCTCCAAAACTCCACTCCACAAATCGCACTAAAAGCTTTCTCCTCCAGGATGACTCTACCACCTTATTTTCTAAATCAGGAGATTTTACAGTAAGAATGTGTAGCCAAGAATTTTCCTACAAACTAGGAATTTGGACTGTTGGTCATTTTTTTCGTTAAACTGACATGTACATTTTTAGCATACAAAGTTATCTGGCTTTATTAGAAATTTGCATGAAAATATACACCAATAAAGTTAATATTACTACCGTCCTTTAAAGGGAAATTTCTTTGGAATAATATAAGCAGCAACAGAAAGGGGAAGCATTGGGTTGTGGTCTTTCTTATGCTGATAAGCTTCAACTGAACTTAATTTGTTCATGCATATAACACTGCTTCCATGCAACATAAATGTAGGTTGTGCAAAAGCTTTCTCTGTTATCAGAGGTGGAAAAAACCTGTATCTCCAATCTGATAAAAATACCTTTCTGACATGACTCTCTTACTAATAGATATTAATCTTGTTATGGTGTCTTAATAAAATAGGCATTTGTCCAGTTTATTCAGCTGTGCCCCAGACCTCAGTGACCCCATTAACAGTGATGGGATTTTGGTACAGTCCTACCGGTTCTTCACCCTAGGCAAAACCAGTAAGTTTGTACCGAGCTACATTTTTTTTATTAAGAAATAATGCGTATCATACAACCAGCATGCCCTGCTCTTGGCAGCAGCTTCATTCTGAAACTGCTACTATTTTATTTGTGATCAGCACATTAATTATCCACTGGAAGCCAAAATCTATCCATTTGGAACTGTTGTTATGTCCCACTCACATGCACTGGAACAACTAATGTATTTAGCAATGACCCATTAATTAATGTGCATCAAACAGTATACTAATGAGAAAATACATTCCACTTTTAAAATTAAAAGGTGAATTTCAAAGGATGGAGGAATATTTCTCATTCTACATTGTTTTTTGCTTCTGCTGCCAAATGATGCATCTGTTCAAACACAAAGACCCATATGATTTGGGCCTACCAGCCACTTATTGATAAGATGCTGACACCCCCACAGAGGAAGTAACCTCCACAAATATCCTTCACAGTTTGAGCAAGCACGGTCTGGCAAGAAAGATCACAAATTCTAAAGAAGTAGTCTTTCACCGCATGGTTATAAATATTAACATTGGGGTTGGTTAATTTAGAATACTGGAAAAAAAAAGTCAGTCCAAACTGACCTGAACTAATTTGAGTTTCAAATCATATAACCTTTCAAAGAATTTAATCTTTCAAACTTATTCATAAAATTTATTAACATTCTGTGTGAAAAGCTACTATGTTTGACATTCATTACAATGTGATTCATTGTATGAGGCGATTCACCCTATGAGTTGATTCTCTATATATTGTAAAAATGATTGAAAATGTTAAAAATGTGGATTTTAGAATCTAAAACGTAAGACTTGAAGGAGAAGTTACAAGAGGGTAAGCTTAGAGTAACATTCTAGAAGATTTTTGAGACCATTCTCAAATCAAATAAACTGAGTATTTGTTAAAACGCTATAGCTGCATTAATCAGCATAATTCAGAGAGATCAAGAAATCAAGCTACAAGTGAAAGTTTAATGAATCCCAAAGAACAAAAAAAGTATCCAGTTCTGGTATAAATACCTCATTCCCACCAAATCCACACACAGAATCAATGTGGAAGCAGTGCCACCTGGAAAGGACACACAAATGAGCAAGCCAAGAATCATCACATCACATAATACTAGCAAGAGGAAAAGCTGCTGCCCAACTTAATAACTGAAGCTGCTGCAAATTCTGGTCTACACTCAACATGGTGAGACTGCAGAAGCCATCCTCAGCCTGTCTTCACCAGGATGTATCGAGTTGTACCTCTCTGCAGGAAACACTGTGGTTTTTAAAATCTTTACCATGTAACACTAAAAAAAGGAAATATTAAGTCAACCTTAAAAAAATACTGATTTTGCCAGTTCCCACCTACATCCTCCAAACCCATGACTGGACACTGTTGTACTTTTACTCTCAATGGCAATGAGTGAAGGATGCATACATATTAAAAAAAAAGAGAGAGAGGAAAAAAAAAAAGGGTTTCCTCCCTGGGACAGGGCCAGAGGAAATCACATCTAGTGGAAGACTAGGTTTTATTTTCATTGTTTAAGGGTGTCTACATAATGACCTCATCATCTTTGTTCCAGGATTCTACAGGATTTGGGAACAGCTCTAAATTTGGGGGTTAGTAGGAAGCCTTGCAGCCTTTTAGCTAACACATCTTCTTCTTTGGCGCTCAGGGCTACTTCAGCTCCAGAGCAAGCCCCAGGGAGCTGCGGAAGCAAACAAAGCACACTTGATTCTCTCCTGCTAGGGTGCAACTATCCCGTGCCCACAGACTTCTCACAAACAAGAAGTCTGGAGTGTATTTTAGGTAGCTTAATTTCTAACAATATAAAATGTCCTCGGTGGCTACAATGCAAACTGTTACACAAAAAGGTTTCCAGACCAGAAAAAAAAAGTCAGAGAAAAAACCCAAATATATCCAAAGACACTACAAGTCCTTGGATGTCTCCAATGTGCTCCATCCTTCAGGACTCTTCCTCCTCCCCTTCATCGTCTACTTTAGATCGGAAATTTTTCCGATTCTTCTTCTTACTGCAATGGAATCCAACTGTTTCCACTGATGGCTCTTCTCCTGCACCACTAAACGTTGCACTAAGCTTATCTTCTGTATTCAGGTCCCCTGCCATCACACACTCCTCCTCCTCTGTTGCCTTTCCACTTGCACTACCTAAGTGCCCCAGCTCTACCTTATCCTCCTCCCTCAAGTCATCAGTCTTCTTAAAAGATTTTCCTTTCAGATCTGTTTTCATGTGTTTCTTATCATCCTCCCCTGCAGATGTTTTCTTTTCCAGTCCATCAACACTCCTTTTTATTGGTTTGGTGAAGACAATCCTCCCAGCTCCACAGCTGGAAGGGTCTTGGTTGAAGTATGGGGTGTAGCTATCTTGGGTAACTGAGCTTTGTTCCTCCCCTCTTTTCTTCAAACCCTCTAGAAATTCCATGGCCACTGCCCTGTTAGTCTTGTCAGTAGACTCTGAAACTCCATCTAGGCTGTATTTGGTCCAGCGCTCCGGGTGTGCCACGTAGTCAGGCACTGCAGGAGAGGTTCTGGGAGCCTGCACTGGTTTGGCTTGCTTTCCCAGGCTTTCTGGAACCATGTTACTTGAAACTGTGGCTGGAGGCAATGGACGCTTAAACCTCCCATCAACAACATTATCTTCAGGCATTGAGGGCACAGACAATTTGGCTGCCTCTTCCAGGCAATCAAAAATGCTCTGGCTACGGAGAGAGAAGGTAGAACTCATGCCCCTCAGATGGAACGGTTGGACAGGAGACCTGTGACTGCTGTTTGAAGATTCGGGGGTCTTCCCTGATCTGTAGTCCCCATCATCTACAGATGGCTCCTCAGGAGATATTGTATCAACTTCCGCATCATCTGCTAACCCCAAATCATCGGAATCAGAATCGCTGAGCGACACTGTGTCTGAGGGCAGAGCTCCTTCATAGTCTGTGGCACCACCAGCCACTATCCCCAGAAAGGGTTCACCTCCATCCTGATCTCCCATCTTCACTCCACTGAGGTCTTTGACGTAGCCCCAGGAACAGCTGCAAATATGTTTTTCCAAAGGCCCAGCGAGTTTAGTGCCTAGAATACAAAGCAGCATAAAAATTTAACTGTGAAATGAGAACCAAATATGAAACTACCATTCTGTGCCATGCAAAATAATTATTACTGCAATGTCACAGGCAGCTGTACCTCAGGGATTCCTAAGCAATTTTGCTTGAAATAAAAACATTATTTAAGGAATGAATGCACATTAAAATTAAAAACTTACACAACACTCAATACAGAATATGAAGTAATTAAAAATAGCGTTGCACATAAAATTCCATTAAAGCTTACAGCAGGTCCAATTACTGAAAGATAAGCATAAATTTTTTTATCAAATCTGAATAACCCACAACAGGCCTACACATCTTCCAAGAGAAAGCAATGATCTCTCCAAATGACACCCTGCATTTATAAATCCATACATAATCCTGCATAAATCCACAAAAACACATCCTAATCTCTCATGGTTTCTTTTGGCCTTTACTGCATTAGCTACTTTACCTCCTGTCCCAATAATCATCACATTCTGCCTATTATAAAGGACACTATCACTGATCAAGGTCAGTGGCAGAGAAGCCACAAAAACATCAGGGCTGCAGTTTCAGGATTGCTTTAAAGTAACATAAAGTACAAGCTCCACGCTTTCCTTGGCTTTAAGCTCTCATGTCATTACTAGATTCCTGGAATCGCAAAATGAGCCAGCTCAAGAAATCAGTCCCACTGGATTAAGAAAACTAATGGCACATGCCGTGCTTGTGCATGGCAAGAAGGGGAGGGTGCAACGAAGGCTCTGTGAGAGCTGGCCCTTCAGTCAGTAAAAGACAGTGTGGTCTGAAGCCTGACTTCCAGTGGCAGCTGAAATACCTGAGTCACTCTGCCACCTGCTTGAAGGGAACCTTGCAGAACTGAGGCGGTTGATGATCACATTACCACTTGCCAGGCAATCAGAAACAGAGTTGTCAAACACGCACCTCAGTTCAGCTTGCAAAAATGTGAATTGCAGAAACAGTTCTAATATATTATTAGAATAAGCTCAACTACCTAATTATAGGTTCTTCTGAAACGATGCAGTGAACAGACATGGAAAGTCTGTTAGTCACTCACTTTCTCTTGAGACTG